CACACACACACACACACACACACACACACACACACACACACACACACACACACACACACACACACACACACACACAAGGGCTGTAGAAATGTTTTTAAAAACTTACTGGCAAAACCCAGCGATTCCTCCGGACGTAGACATGTTTGTCAGCACTGCCGGAGAAGTTGGGTCAGGAAAGCTGTTGTAAGAGTCGAGACATCGTTGGAGGTACCGGCAAGATCTGCTACGACGCTCAACGGTGGACTCTGAAAAGTACAATAGTTTTGTATTTTGTTTTCCTTTCCAACTACCTTTATAAATCTCAGGCCTTAAATTCCACTTCCCTCTAAGCAGGTTTGCATAGAGCTACTCCAAGCCACCATTTGAATGTCCATGATTTAGTAGAACACCGCGTTAGCGGGACTTTTGGTTCCAGAAGAAAAATCATGATGCAGGCGAGTTCCCACTCTAGGAATGCAAAGGGGAAATTACCGAAAATTTTCACAAAACCCACAATGATTACCTCCCTTCCATATCAATACAGTTTGCACCGTAGAAAAGTCTTCCTTTTCTTGTCAACTTCGTTGATTATCTCGGCCTTTAATTCGAACGAGAAGCATTTCCTTTTGTCTTTGTTGGAAGCCATCTTTTCTTCGGCCTTGTTGCTTGTGCTGTCTATCGTACCAGTAGGACTACTACAGAACTGGTGAAGTGGATGCGTGCGTATGCCTATGAGAAGCAACGATCACAATTCAAGGAATCATGGATCACACACTACATGCTCGCCTCTTCTTTTACTTTTTAGTCTAGCCTAGGCAGGGCTATGGCCTATACGATCTCGTACTGAGCGTCTAAGCTACGGCACATCACGTTTGACGTGGCTCACGTATAAGGCTATCTCCTCACCATCTCTCTCTGCCGCCTGCACCACCTCACTCATCACTGGACTGGCCATTCGCAACGCCGAACAGCTGACTGCCTGTTTGGATCCCGCCTACAGTCCCCCCTCCCCCTCCCCCCCCCCCCAAACACCCTTCCCCAAGCTAGAGCTCGCTCGATATCTCCCGCTGTATCCGAGTTCTGGCCTTTCCTTGCCCCGTTAAATCCGAACACAGGTAATTGAGTTTACTTAGAAAAAAAGAGAATTCTGGCAAAACCAAATGCCCGCTTGTCTTGGACTTTCTACGATAATAGCAGTCTGTTTTACATCTATATGAGGATCAATAATTTGGGATGTCTTCAGTCCTTATCCTGTTTTGGAAAACGTTTGGGGGAAAGCAGAATAGAAAGGCCACGGTGAGCGACAAAACGATCAATTTCAAAATTTAGCTGTAAAAATCAGGATTACAAGGCAATCAACAAATGGTTTGGAGATAGAACTATTCGACTTCGGAAGCCAATGATAACAGCTAGAAAACGATAGGCTACATTGTCTTGACTGGTTGTACGTTTCTTTAATTTTGTACTGGTAGTAGTGGTAGGCCCACCCACTCGTATCTCGTCATTAAAATGTGGCATTTTAAGCATTTGCCAGAACAGATATGATAAAAAGATACTCGTAAAAAGCTAACATATTATGTTATTGTGCGGATTACACATCCACTGCTCTTGTCTGAAAATATACACGTAGCTTACACGTACATGTCTTGTAAACTCTGTCTTTATTTCCTGATGTAGCTGCAAGACGTTTTCTTTTGGATAGTGTATTACATAGCCTAAAATACATTGTCTGGAAAAAAATCAACTAAACCCGACAATACGCATGTAAAGAAACAAAACAACTGTATCAAATAAGAATAAATTTAGTTCTCAATATACCATACCTTCCAAAAGTTTCACAAAAATAAATCCGTCATCGGAAAATGGGTTGTGCAAAGTGAAAGCAATGCACGGTAACAGTTTTAAGAAAAATAACTGACTAAAAACTCGACCAAAAAATGTGAAATGTCAAGTTTAAAATAAAATAATTAGACGGTAATGTATTACTTTTTCTTCCTTTTTTCTTTCTTTCTTGATCTAAGCGATGATCATTTTGATGTGATAAACTTTGTTCTCTTGTAAGGACGGAGTTCTGTTACTCAAATAAGGACCAGATGCTGACAAATACTTTGAAGACATGTTCAAAGGGAACAACAAGCACGTGTAAAAAAGGTAAACTTAAGGAACATATTATTTTTAGAAAGTCCGGCCAGCCTCGAGAGCCAACAGGTTTTATTAATCAATTTCAGAATCTGAAAAGTACCGGCGTCTATAGTGTAGTGGTGAAGAACCTCTCCACCACACGAAAAAAAAGACAGTGCGGGAATAATTTTCATAGAGTATCTTGGTACATGTGTCAAAATTTATGCTGGTTGTTATACAATATATTATTATATCTCAGCCTGGGTTGGCCCTGATAAGCAGGATAAAGGCTGCTTTCTAAATTATGATCTAAAATGAGTCGATAGAAGCCTGCGAATCACCTATATGTAAGAAATTGTAAAAGTGTAAGGGCTTCAAATCTAACTTGCTTTTTGGGATCAAATTTCTAACGTCTTATATTTTTTTTCAACTCCGCTGGTTTGTACCGAAATTCGTACACCCTGTGTCCTCTAAGCGTAGTGATATACTTACATATAACAATCTCGAGAGTGTGGTAAAAGCAGACAACTGTTAATGAGATTCAAAATTTATTTAGATCTTTCCATGCCCCCCTCCCCAAACACATACACAAGCACACACACATACACAGACACACATACACAGAAACACACACACACACACACACACACACACACACACACACACACACACACACAAGGTATACTTGCCTACAGTCACAAAGGCAGCGCAGACCAGAAACAGACAACCCCACTGCATGTTGCTGGAAGTAACAGAATGATTTTCACCCACTGGAGTGCTAGAATACTTTTTGGAAAGTGCCAGTGGTGTTGACATTTTATACCTCGTTGACAGAAATTACAGAAAATTGTACCAACCTATTTCCGGGACGTCCCGCCCTGACGCTTAAGGTTATCCTTTGTATCTCTGTACAAAAATACAATCGTTGTCATTTATCAACACAATTTCCTCTCTAACAAAATCAGAGTTAATAGGATAATTTACTCTTATCTATCTATCTATCTATCTATCTATCTATCTATCTATCTATCTATCTATCTATCTGTCTATCTATCTATCTATCTATCTATTTATCTATCTATCTATCTATCTGTCTGTCTGTCTCTCTGTCTGTCTGTCTGTCTGTTTGTCTGTCTGTCTATCTATCTATCTATTTACAGAAGGCCATTAAAAACGCAACTTTTTCAAAAAGTTATTCAAAAGCCAAATATGCTCTGATAGTGACGATTTTTTAAGACACAAGTAAGTAGTTGTTAGCCCACATACCCATGTACAATTTTTGCTATTTCAAAGAATTCAAAATTATTTACCTGGAAGACGATCAATTCTTTCTTTTTAAAAAAATCTTTTTCATTACAAGACTCCTCAACTTTGCGAAGCTAATCGCAACTTTCGCTTCTGCCTTGTTCGTGGAGCAAAATCTGCCTGAGAAGCAGCAATACGGCTAAAAACAATGGTGACAATGCAGTGCTTGTATTGTTCTCGACCTATACAAAGATTTTAGCACACTTGAGATGTTCGGGATGCGCAAAGAATAGGACAGTCTCGAGTGATCAGCCATGTTCAAGAGAGGCGTATTTTGCAGTAGCATTTGCGAAATCGTTTCGCTTCTCAAAAGTAGCAGCTCAAGGCATGCATTGGTTGCGTGAAAATGTTTCCTTCATCAGTGTGAGGCGCGGAGGAATAAGCACAGGACGTAGATGAAGAACGCCTTATTTAGGACTGTAATTAACGAAGCCGCAACAACCGTCTTCACGGTGCCAAACAGCACAAAGAAAAAAAATTGAATCTCTCAGTCATCCAACTCGACACTCCTGCCTTTATCGTGCCCATTTAACAAACAACACAGTTTCTGGAAGATTATAATATGAATGTCAAGGACTGGCCAGTGTACATACCCGACTTGTCTCCAACAGCGCACGTATGGGACGAACTGAACCGCAAAGTGTGTGCCGATGTGCGAATCTGGAAGATCGCGCTGCCACGAAAGCGGGACAGAATTTCTCAACAAAACATTGAAAATGTAATGAAATCCATGTGAAGAAGTGTTTTGTTCTGTTTAAATGTTAATGATGGCCATACAATTTACTAAGAATAAGATATCTTTATTGAGCTTCGATTTGTGTTTATCTGCACATTTCTCTTAAGGGGGTACGCCGAGAGAAGGAGGACAGTGTATCGAAATCATTCAAGTGTGTGATCAAAGTGGTTCACATTTGTTGGAAATTGAATAAACTTCAAAAAACATTTCTTTTTATCTACTTTAACTTGATACAAACGTGTTCAGACTATGCGAACGAAGTGTTGCGATTTTAATGGCGTTCAGTATATTATATCCGTCTGTTGGACCATTTGTAATTAATTTCTTTCCTTCTGTACGGTTGTCGATAAGTGTCGACGGGCGATGCAGTTTTCTATTGTAAATTAACTCCTCAGCTCTTTCAATTGGGATATTATTATTTCTCAAGGCTTCCTTGACTCCCCCCAATCTATCTTTTGCATGGCCTTCCTCTTCCTTTATAGCTTGTTATATGCTCTCGAGGTTTGCTGGCTAGGTGACATTCGTGGCACTTAATTCTCTGTTTTGCTATGAAATGCAGGCAGGACTCAGTGCCAATATCTGCTCTTACTTCTTCATTTCCCTGCCTTCCTCGTCTTGTGATGTTAAGAGTTTTGCGAAGACATTTATTCAGCTCGTAGGCAGTGATTTTGCTGTCATAGATTTTACTTAATGTTCAGGTCTGGAACTGGTAGCACAATGCATAAACATTGAGGTGATACGCTGTCCTGTTGTGCCCATGGAGGTGTTTAGATAAGATAGAAGGTAGGCGAGCTGGTAGGTGACATCGTTGGCCTTTGACCTCGCGTTTTTATTTCTCTGTCTATGGACCCGTTTTCAGCTGTTTTTTAAAATGCTGTCAAGATATTTATAATCCTTCACCTGTTTCAGTTGTTTACTATTGACATGGATGTTCAGGGGACTAGATCTATGGTTTCCATTCACTTTCATAACTTATAGTAGGCTACGTAGAGTTATCGCAAAACATTTTCCTAGCTAGGCTGAACTGTTTGTTTCCATGGACTTCTCAGACTCAGAGTAAGATTGCTTACTGCACTTCAGTTCATATTACAGAAAAAGTAATGGGCAGCTTGTTTGACCTTGTTCAAATATATAACCTCACAGGAATATTATTTTCGATGGTGGTGGTGTAGTTACGATTAATTTTAGAGGTTTCACAAACTAGATGAGTGGGGTATGGGTTCTATTTCTACTATTTTGCACCCATGCTATACAATGCTCATTGTCTTCAATTTCACGTTCACCTATCACGTTGTCTGGCTGACCGTGGGGGCACCTCTGTAGATTTTACAACCAGCTTCTTCCACTCTTCAAGGTCCTCGGTTTTCTGCAATATTATGGTGTTCCAGTCACGACCAGTCTTCTCGTTGGTTTCTCCCCATCGTTTCCTCTGTCTGCCTTTTTTAGTCCCTCCTAGTGCTGTTATCTGTAGTGTGGTCTTGGCTTAGTACAGACGATCGTGTTATGTGCATTTACTACAACAGATTTTCACTGAAGTCAGGAGGTCTTCATACGGCCCGATGGCATATCCGATTCTGGTTCTCACTACTGCATTGGTTACGTTATCTCTGTTAGAGACATCGAGGAGTTTTCGAAAATATATCATCTCCAGTGTCTGTACTCTTCTTTCGGTGATTGCTGTTATGATACATGCATTTTACAACATATATGGGCATGACCAAGTAACGCACCAGTCTGATCCTTGAAGTTGATAGTGATGCTCTCGTCCTTCCAAATGTTAATGACATTAAACTTGATCACTGCAGCTGTGGTCGGGGCTTAGATGCTTCGTCCAATATTTTAGTTCCCATGTGTATTAAAGCTACGGATAGTCACCATCTTATACTTATTGTCTTTAGTATAGTTTTAGAAAGAGTTTTACAGCACTTGCAACACAATAAGGTCATACAAGTGCCGAGGATTAGAGGTGTTACAAGAGAGTAACAATCACAAAAAAGGAGGAGAAGAGAGAAAGACGATAGTTGTTTTTTTTAATATAGGAAAGAAGGAACAAACAACACCATGAGCACCAGCCAACCACCCACTCTTATTGTCTATGGTAAAGACAGCGCTGAAGTTATTGGTGCTTATTTGTCATCAACTGTATTTTGTTGTGGGGGCCTTTTCAATGTGATTTACTAAGTTGGCCAGCTCTTGCTCTCGTCCAGCTGGGCTATCGAATCGTCGGGAAAATGTGAGTTTGTACATTAAATCCTGTCTCTGATGCTGACTTTAACTTCATGTTCTTCAAGTTCGAGGGACACATTAAACATTGTCAGTTTGGTAGAAATTTTGAATTTTGTCCGGGTGGTAGCTGAAGCCTACTCCTATCGATTTTGGGATCACCAAGGAATCTTTAACGTGCGCCACTTGCATAATTAGGTACCACCAAGATTTTTTGCTCTTATCCGAGAAGACTAAGTGTTAGAACTTACCTACCATAAGATCAGGTGTGTGTCTGAAAGACATCAGTAAAGAGATGTAACAGTAGAAAGGTTGCATAAAGAGTCAGGAGCTCACTGGGAGGGGGTGGGGCAAAGGGGAGGGGGGGAGAGCAGAAAGTGGAGACGAAAGCAGACGGCAGAAGACGTTTAGAGTACGAGAAAGGAGACGAAAATTTTCCGTCGCTGTCAGGTGTCGAACCAGGGACCTATTGAATAAGAGGTAAACACCCTAACCTCTAGACCACGAGAGCCCCCGCGCCATCTGTGTTGAACGCCTTCTTGAAGTCCACGAAGACAAAGTAGAGGCTTATTCTGGTGTTATTCATTGTCAGGCGCAGCCAAATAATTTGTGTCCGCTTCCAAAAGAATTGGGAGCTCATCCAAAAATGTCCAAGCGATTTAAACTCTCAGTGTTTCTGTGCTGATTTGAACACTGTAACCACTTCCCCCTCCCCCATACACAAACACAAACACACACACACACACACACACACACACACACACACACACACACACACACATACACACGCGAAAACACACACGCGCGCGAGCGCGTTTTTTGTAACGTAATTCAACAATTTCAGCGTTCGGCATAATCTTGGGCAACACAATGCTTGTTTCTGGCATCGCAGTAGGCTGCTACTCACTCTGCTCCAAACACAAGAGGAATGTTAATTACAGTACGCCCTGACAGAGTCAGAAGATGTGGACAATTGCCCGTAATTGGTACTAGTTGAGTGTAAATGAACGTCGTTCCGCCTTGTTACTGTTCGGATTTTTTGTGTTAGAGCGGTCATTTCAGCACTCTCGACAAAATAAAGAGTCTTAAAAAGCAAACTGGGATTCATAGATAGTTTATTTTGACATCTATTACGTATCAAGCTGATTATTTCGACATCTATTATGTATCAAGCTGAAAGTTAGGATATGTAAAAGACTAAACAAACAAACAAAACAAAAATAATGGTGCCACCTGCATAAGCCATTGTGGGTGCCTCTGAAGCACACTCATAATAATAAGAACATGTTTGATCTCTTAAGGATAGATTGTATCGATTAACATTCAGCGAACAGATTAAAGTGTGCACACAACAATATCAATTAAAACCTTGTTTCACAACAAAAAGCCCGTCTTTGTGGACCCAGCATGACTTTTGTTCGTTGTCAAACCGACTTTGAAACGCGATGGTTTTATCCACTTCAAATATCATCATTTTTGCTTGTTCCCGTCCTGCGCTGTTCATCTCATCGTGATGCTACACTTAAATCTAATTAATTAATATGATTGTTACGTCGCTTTTGTTATCTGGTCACGCTTCTGGTCTACACAGCTCATGGGGTGGGAGACAGACAGACAGACAGACAGAAAGACAGACAGACAGACGACAAACAGACAGACAGTCAGACAGACAGACAGACAGACAGACA